CCGATCGTCGCCGTGTACGCGCCGCAGAGGTCGACGTGGAACACGTCGTTCGGCGCCCTCTTGCCGCGGTACCCGCCCCCCTGCTTCGACACCGGCGCCCTCGTCCCTCANGCGGCGTCCACACCGAAGAGCATATTGTGGTTGCCACCGATCGTCGCCGTGTACGCGCCGCAGAGGTCGACGTGGAACACGTCGTTCGGCGCCCTCTTGCCGCGGTACCCGCCCCCCTGCTTCGGCACCGGTGCCCTCGTCCCACGCGCCGGCAAGCACCAGCGGCAGCTGTCCATCGTGCCCGTGAGGGTAATCCCGTGCTGCTTCGCGGACAGTCTCAAAATGGGTTCGGACAAGTGGCCGGCACGGTTGTGGAACGTGTTAATATCCATAACCGTTTGGGCCTTGCCGACATTGAAAGGTGTCTCCCCCGGACCCAACACAGCCATGGCGCGCTCACACTCTTCACTCTCCCACACATCAATCATCTTCGCCGAGTATTCCGCTACAGCATCCATCACACGGGGGGGTTCTAGATCGGAATCCATCGCGGCTGTAAGAGCCAATGCCACAAGGGAAAAAGAACTCTCACGGGCATCNGAACGTGTTAATATCCATGACCTTTTGTGCATTGCCGACATTGAATGGTGTCTTCCCTGGACCCAACACAGCCATGGCGCGTTCACACTCTTCACTCTCCCACACATCAATCATCTTCGCCGAGTATTCCGCTACAGCATCCGTCACACGGGGGGGTTCTAGATCGGAATCCATCGCGGCTGTAAGAGCCGATGCCACAAGGGAAAAAGAACTCTCACTGGCACTCTCATTCGCAACGTCCATAGAAGGTAAGGATTTGTGGGGAAGGCGGGTTGCAAAAAGGGAGTCGCTCGAAACGCCACGAATGAAACGCAGTTTTCCGTGCATCATTTGCGTACCGTTGGGGTTGATCCGGACCTTATGCTTGTGAGACACCTTCCATACCGAGAAAAGGTTAAAACCACACCCGGGTACAAACAAAACTTTTGGCACCGTAACGTCCAAATCCTCCTGTTTCCCGTCGGCTCCGATTGGTGGAACCCAAGGTCCAAACTCCCTACAGCGGCAACCTTGATGACAGCCGAGTCTCCAATCTGAATGAATCGTTCATCCGGGCCCAAGTGGCGTACATTGTACATTGCATCCACTTTGGTAATAGTAATCATCGCACTGGCTCCAGAATCGGCCTGCCATTGTTCGCTACCAATCGGATTCGGCATGGAGGGTTGGCACAAGAAAGCTTTCTCAACCGTGGGACGGCGGGTGAGACGGGCTACGACAACCTTTCCAGGCACACTTGGTGGAGCAGGGACAGATGCATCACACTCCGGAACGCCGACCACTTCATCAGGACTCTCAAGTGCAGCGGGCACGCGGGGTACATCATGAGTAGACACACCAAACTTCAAGACACCGAGCTCATCATCAGAACGTCCATGCACAGCAGGCACGCGGGGAACACCAGGCGTTGACACATGAGACTCCGCACTCGTGAACACGTCAGACTTCGTAAAACCAACATCCTTCTCAAAATCAATCTTAGACTTGCCTCGAGGGCACACGCCACGTGCCACGAAGAGATGCAGGGGGGAATCGCCGGCTGGAGGTAGAGCGTCGCCATGAGCTGGAGAGAGAGAGGAGGAGGAAGAGGTCGCCTGGGGTGCACCGTAGTGCTGCTGCTGCTCATGCTGCTGCGAGGTGTCGA